CATAATACATGGAAGAAGACGGTATAAGAGGACGTTTAAGATAATGCCTCTTGCAATAGGAATTGGTGGGCAGCTGATACAATGTGTTTTTAAAGCTAGGAATTTTTGTTTTTCTTTGTTTCTAAAAGAGGCAGAAAACCTTGGATTTATATCATTTTGTAGAACATTCTACTTATCTTCGAAACGTAAGTAAGTAGAAACAGGTTCGTGAGATGGGTATTTCTCTTTTAAGAATCTATGGGTAACTTGCAAGAGCAGGTATTTCAATATTCACATGTCCCATGTGTACTATTTGGTTTACAGTCTCCTGACTGCTATCCTGTGGTGAATTGTTCTGTTTATAGCTTTAAAATTGCTATCTGGGTGACAGTCTTCTGTTTCTAATCTTAAGATGGTTGTCTAGTGGCTTTGTTCCCTATGGTTCATATTGCAGCTTGATAATACTGTGGAGGGAAATACAATTAGCTAAGTATGCACCTGCTCAGTTTACAGTTTTATGAGTGTAACTTGTTCTATGATATACATCTTGGAGCTTGTGATGAAATTGCTTGAAAATAGAGGTTCTGTGTGAAATTTTGCAATGTATAAATATATCTTTAAACATTTTGTTTAATATGTTCTCTCTCCATATGTATACGTACATCTATATAAATATATATATAGATATCAATAAATAGATAAATATAGATAGATATCTTCCTACAGGGCTTATAAAGCTAAACAATTGCGAATTGAGGAAGCTTGGAGTGTAAAGCCATAGAAAATAGCTGGTCTGAATTTTGACATTTATTTTAGCTTCTAACCTATTACTCCCTTAAATACATCACAGCTTCTCCATGGTATTTTTCGTCTTACCATCGTCATTTTAATTGAATTTTTTTTTCCCACATTGCGTGGCTTGCAGGATCTTAGGTCCCCAACCAGGGATGGAACCCGGGGCTCCGGCAGTGGAAGCGCTGCGTCCTAACCACTGGACCACCAGGGAATTCCCTAATTGAAGTTTTGACATTGGTTCAGGATCAGATTCTATGCTCTATTACAGAAGTTGTTTCCAGTGGCTGTTTAGCACGTAGTAAACCCTAGAAAATTTATCAACTTATTTATAAATTAGGTGTTTCATGTGAGGTTTTATTTCTAGAAATATTATTGCATGTAATAACATTGTTAGAGCTAGGGATAGTTATATGCCATATTCTCTGATATATGTGGGGGGACTAGTGGTGCCTTTACCGAGCAGATTTATAAGACCCTGAAAAAGGGGACACTACCAGTAGGCTCCCCACGTGGTCATTTTTTAAAATCCTTTTACTTGTGATTATGTTGCGTTTATCTCTCTTGAGTGAAAGGAACCTGATTCTCCATCATAGATGACTTGCTACCGGGTAGTCTGAGGAGGCCGAGTGAAGTTTTCAGGGCAGTTATCAAAGGACTAATGAAGACCACTAGTGGTTTTGAATAGAGACAATTTGTCAACGTAAATTATTTTCCAATCAGAATGAGATTCCTCTGCAGCAGGAGGAGAAAGAATAGCGCTTACCTAAGTGTAGTAAAGAAAGATATTTAAATCAGAAGATGCAGCTTTGAGGGTGAGTACCACCATTTGGTACTTGTCGCATGACGCTAGATTTGTTATTTTCATCTTATTTTCCTTATCTGCATGACTGGGGCTATTTCAATAATACTTATCTCAAAATAGTGTAGTGAGCCAAAAACCAACATACACAGAATAAGTTTATACATGGTCAAGCACTATACAATTAGTAGGTATTACAACTACTATGAATGAACTCACATGGTGCCACTGGAAATGTCAACTGTATCTTTTAAGGTAGTAAAGCAATAGAAACACAAGTTGTTTCTCCTTCTTCCTCAGCCTATCAGTGGGTTAAATGCATGCAGCCTTGATGTATTTCACCCTGAACACAATAAAATGACAATGATCTCAAATAAATAGGTCAAAGTATCCAAGGGAGGGAATGTATGCATTTTCATGCAAATAGCAGGAGGTCCAATCAACAGGATCTTTTTTTTTTTTTTTTTTTTGCGGTACGCGGGCCTCTCACTGTTGTGGCCTCTCCCACTGCGGAGCACAGGCTCCAGACGCGCCGGCTCAGTGGCCATGGCTCACGGGCCCAGCTGCTCCGCGGCATGCGGGATCCTCCCGGACCGGGGCACGAACCTGTGCCCCCTGCATCAGCAGGCGGACTCTCAACCACTGCGCCACCAGGGAAGCCCCAACGGGATCTTTAAAGACCTATAAATGAACGAATTTAAGAGAACTTACTCCAATATATTATATTGAAAAAATATATTTTTTTGTGCACCGATGTAGTTGACATCATATGTATTCAAATGACTAAAGTAGCTTGAAAGAGTAATAGGATGTTGAATGAGAAGTTACTGGAATCTTAAAGTTCTTACACTTTGGAAGTATGAAGGAGTAAGAAACAATATTTAAAATAGAAATATTAGAATAAAAAACATGTTGGGAGAGGATCTTGCTCACGTCACCAATGTGTCTGTAACACTCTCCCACCTTACCGTGGGCTTGTCCCAAATCACGTGAGTTGATTGACTGTTTATGGTCCCATTCTCTCTCCCTTACTTCAAGCAGGGTACTAGCATTTGATATTCTTTATAACAAAAGATTTGCCAGCACCATTTTTGTAAACTGAAATGAGGGCAGAAAGAAAAAATAGTATAAAAATATTAATGTTATTTGGATACAACTTACCAAATATTTCAAAAACTTTTTAAATCCCAAAGCAACAAACCAACCACAGTGAATTAAGCATAGTCTGCACAGATGAGTAAGTCTGAACACATCAATAGGCTTTTGTGCTAGATGCTAAAAACATATGGAATGTATTACATTCCAAACAACCAAAGGGTTCTGAAGAATAATGAATGAGATTCATAAACATGGACTAAAATAAGCCCATTTTCACATCTTCAGATTATTAAATCTAGAACAAATCTTCTTCCCCAATTGGTTTTTCTTATGACAAATTTCTGACACAGAAGAGAACATTTGTTTCATATTTTATTGAATTTCATTTATATTAAATTAAAAATATATTTCTGACAGATTCATGTAACAAAAAGGCAGAACAGTTTTCAAATTGTTCAGCTGGGATGATCAGTGTGGAATGAGGCAAAGCAGGTCGCATTCTATAATTGCCTTGTACAGGTACAATTCTTTCCCAAGAGCCAAGAGAGGATCCTTGAGAACTAACAGAAAAGCCTAATTACAGAAATTTAAAATACTGTTTGTCCCTCATTCTCAAATGACAACAGAAAATGGGAGAAGGGAGGAGAATGGAGTGAAGGGTTGGAGGGGAAGAAAGAATAAGGGAAATTATACTAAAAATATACCTAACATTAAAAAAGTTAGTATGTGTTAAGTGCATAATCCTTCATAGATAAAATAGAAAAAAATCAAAGTAACATTACACCACACACAATTGGCATATCCTATTGTGTAAGCGAGTGCAGAGGTTGAACACATCACCATAGTGCTGAACACAGAATCACAAGTAATGTCAAAATGATAACTTCCAACCCAAAAGAAACAATCACAAGCCAATTACTTATATACAAATTAACCCTCAAGACAATTATGTTCCAAATAAAGATGGCCACAGAAGAAAATCGGAGCAACATTATCCCTATTTACAAATGCAACTAGCCATGTCTTTAACAAGCTATAAAAATACTATTCACATTTTCAAACATACAGTAGTATTTTTTGTTTATTTCAAAAAGGCAGCTAACTTTGAACACTGGGATTTAAATGAAACATCAATGGCTAACCAGCTAGTTATTTTTGCACCCCTGTCCTTTGAAGATACTTCAGAAGAGAGAGGGCTTGTTTTCTCTTTACAAGTTAAGAACATGAGGAAATGAATACAAATGTATATAATACCTTAAGCCTCTGCCTTTTTGGTAAAGTGTCTCCCTTTGTCACCTGAACTGATCTTTGTCAACTAGTCAACTACTTTGATGCATGTATGAGATGAGTGTTTAAGAGAAGATTTCACATGACATTTTGTGCTCTGAATTGTCTTGCAGATCGATCTCATTTTCATTTGATCTTGTTATAATGGTGCTCAGGAAAGATGAACACCTAGTCATGTCGTGTGAAAATGCAGTTTTGACCTGCAGCAATGCAAGTCCCTGGTGCTCACGACAGGAGATGTAGACACACCAGCCAGTGAGGTGTGCATTCAAAGTTAGCTGCCCTTGCACAGCTGCTCAGTTTAATAATCGACCCATTTAACAGCAGTACGAATTTATGCTACAATATTCCAAAGTACCTTACTTTAAAAGAACAGCTTACATATCTACACTTAGAAAATAACTTTCATAGATGACTACTGGAGTAATCCCAAAGGATTCTTGGAGTGCTATGGTGTAGCCCCCTCACGCCCCCCTCCCAGCCCCTGAGAGATCCAGAAATATACAGGAAAATGACTCTCACATTAGGGAAAAGGTACACCCCCCCACTAATTGAAAAATATGCAAATGCTACTCAAGAATCAGGTTATGTCAATACTTAGGAGGTATGATTTGCTTTCCTTCATAACAGCTACAGGCCTGGGGGAAACAGCTACATATCAGGGATAAAAATAGCAGTAAAGGCAAAGTGGTTTGGACAAGTTAGACTATTGCCTACAGGTATGGAACTTTTTTTTTTATATTTGTACAAATGTAACCACTTATTGTGATATGGGTAAAACACTTAGAGCATTGAAAGAAAAATATCCTTAAAAAGCAAAAGTAGAGAAAAAATGGCAACCTATTAGACAACATGGATTTTCCTTTCAGTGAAACTGCACTCATTATATATTTGTCAGAGGGATGAATGATCCAGTAAAGAGCTACAGGTGGCTCTCAGAGCTGAATAGCCTTTACCTTTATGATAATAAGACTCTTCATTTATCGAAAAAAAAAAATATATATACAGCAGCTGTAAAATATTTGCAATCAGGAGCAAAGTAAGATAAATAAAGTAAATAAGTTAATTTGCTGGCAAAAATAACTTATTATAATGTAAAGTCTTCATGAAAAGATTAAATCTAAAACCTACCACGGGTATGTGCACATATGTGAGTTTCAAGATTCATCACAGGGCTGACTCGACTCAAATTCCTACAGAGAAGGGCATAGTAAGAGAATCGATATTCATGGAAAAGCATAATTTTAACATCATAAAGTATGCTCTGTGTAGTCATTTATTTGAGAAATAATTTAAACAATGTCCAAATTGCTACTATCTTTTATGGAAAAGTCAGACATTTGAGGGCAGAGGCTAAATCAATGTTTTACAAAGCAGCGTGTGGGACCTCAGAGTTCCACTATGGCTTAAGACAGGCACAGCATCAAGAGGGCCGCTTTGAACTAGGATGGCAGAAAAGTAAGGAAAATGGAGTAGTTGTGCCAATGGTAAAAGAAGTAAAGGCAGCATTTTCCTTAAGGTCCAGAAAGAAATTAATTGTTTCTGTGATTCCTAACAAGATAATCACTTACTTGCAAAGCTGACTGTCAGGGAGTATTTTCCAGGGGAAGCATGTGAAAACCTCCATGAAACTGGGGCTTGGAGTCTTTTCAGCTCATGACTAGAGAAGCATTTCTTCTGCCCAAAAGATCACCTGGCTGTGAAGAGGTGAGGCAGGGGTCTGCAAAAGTGACACATCCTACATTTTTTCACCTTTACAAAATCAGTGGGGCTTGAACCGAGTGTCTGAAAATTTTATTTCATAGAGACTTTTGTTTAATGAAAAGAACAAAGCAGCCCATGGTACTAAAGCGATGTGTCCATATAAACTGAAGGACTCCTGATCCAACACTGTGCCCATAACAGCTTAATGTTTGCAATTGTGGAAAGAACTACTTTTGCAAAGGCTCTCTGGTATTAGAAAAATTGTATTAATTCTACCCAGAAGTATAAAAGCTGGCCCCTTTGTAATATCAGTAATATCAAGGTCTCTACTGATAGTGTTATTTTAAAATGATGCCCAGTCTACATCTGTATACTCTTATTCGTTCTTAAGCAAATGGCAATCAGCAGATATAAGTCTGCCTTTAGGTGTCTGCATGGGTACCAGGCTGTCCTTCAAAACCATATGCATAAAGAGAGGCCCAGCAGAATTCTCTGCCCATAGGATATACAGTAGATTTAGTTTTCTGGCTTTTCAATAACTAGAAGCTTATCCACCTGGATTTCTCATTTGCCCTATTAAAAATCATCTGGCTATCAACTATTGTCCAAAACAATGGAAATACGGCAGTTTGAAATGCTTGCTTTAGCATTTATTTCTCAGAATATTGTTAATTAATTCCTTGGGTTCTTTTTGGAGATGGGAGGGTATCATAGAAAAAAGAAAGGATATGTCACAAATTAAATGCATTTTGTTTGTTTACTAAATGACACCACTCATTTTTTGTCTCTGCATAAGGTAATAGAACATTTATATTTCCTTCACTTCATTTTGAAACCTCTTACTTAAAGTCACCTGTAACATATTTGCCTGTTAAACTCAACAAGGTGGTATTTGCAAAACAAATTTGAAAAATTCCTCTTTACACGTAATACATTTTACAAATGGTAAAGGAATAAGAGAATGAGAAAAACAATAATTGTAATGTTTTAAAGCAAGTTTTCATAAGTGGAACCTGCTTTTTATATGCCCACTTTCAGCTCAACCTAACAAATAACAATTTTAAATGGCAAACATTTTTTACTATGCAAAATCCATCCTACATTTTCATATCCTGCATTTTATTTTGCTACATTATATTTTGTGGTTAGTTTTCTAGTGTGATTTATTTAATAGTATTAAAATCATTTAACATCTGTTAACCTAACTAAATCTACATCTTACAGCATTATCATGGTTCTGTCCAGATATATACATGCTTTCATAATCACCTTTTCTATTACCTTATGAACTACATATACTAGTTAAATAACCAACATTTATAGATGGATGAATAATTCAAGTTTTGAAATAAAGTTTAGATAGCTCTAGAAAAACATGTATTTACATCCTTCCCTGTCGGGCTTAACCAATTTCCTTTTTTTTTTTTTTTAAATTTTTGACACTTCAAAAAGCATGTTGATAACCCTTTCAACTTCATGTAGGGGCAGCATCTCACAGTCCTACTGGTTTGTCCTAGGCATTGGAAATATACATGATCTTCATGCCAAGTCTTGATTTTACAAGGTATTAACACATACATTATATACACTTAGAAGAACACTGTTTCTCCTCTCCAGCTACAAATATTGTCATTCTTCCTGATCTACTAAGATAACAATCTCAAATTTTTAGTTTATACATTTTAATCTGATTTGAGTTTTGCATTGTTTTTCATTCCATTTCAAGAATATTACCCAAGAAAAACTTTCATCCTAACCTGTGCCACTAATATTTGGAAAATCAATTTCTACTCAGTAGTTCAAGCATCTCTTTGTGGTTCAGGATGCTTTGAGGTTCTGGGTCTACCTTGGTTCAGAAAACTTCTTTTCTCACCTGCCTAAGAACCACTGCCCTAAACAACCATTTAATTATACAGTTTTTCTTACCTGGAAATAAGATTCCCCAAGATAGGTATAAGCTACAAGATTTGGTGATTTAAAAAATACAGTCTGTGTAATTTGACTATTAATTTTCTTCAAATTTACTTAATTGGTTCTGCATATTTGCACTGATATAACTAGCCTACAATAATCTGATATTCTGATGCACTTCACAGGCTTTAATTGGCATTTCAAAATTTCACTCTACTGAGTTGAATAAGTTATTCTTTGGAACAAATGAAACTTTTTTTTTCTCCCTCTCATACACTCTGAAATATGTTTTCCTAGGGGGACAAAAATAAATCAAAAGAGAAATCCTAAAACAACTGAAATCAAGTATGTGCTACAGAAATCATTCAAAAGGAACAATAAAGTTCTTGTGAAGCATTTTGGGTCATTTTGGATTATACTTGCATCTATCTCCAGTTATTAGTACCTTATGTGTAAGGGTCTTATGTTCCTAGGATGACAGAGACACTACCTTCACTGAATACATTTCTATTACCTTAACAGTAAAATAATTATTTTTCTTTCCTTCTTCAATATGTGATTCTGCTTTTCATATCCCCATAGAAACCATATGAATATTGTAAATCAGGAGAAAAAATCAAGTTCTAGTATCCAACAAGGATGTTGTCAGTGATGAGTTGGTACAGATTTATTTAGAAAGAGAGGTTTATATCTAAACTTTCATAAACACTGATGTGAGGACCCCTTTTCCTGGATACTCCTCTGACTGGGTGAAAGAGCTCTAAGCTATTAGGCTGTGGCCCCTGAATCATTCTGTGTCTTCAACCCTGGGAAGTTCATGTTTGAATTTCACTGGAAGAGCTCTCACAAACCCCACGCTTGCTCTACCTCAGCCTTTAAGCTTCCCTCACTTTTCATAACTCAGGAAGAAACCAATCCCAATTTCTCCAATGTTCCTGGCCAAAGACCAACATCTATTGTTGATTTAATGGTTAAGTTAGAATCCATATAGGACAATTAGCCAGTGATACAATATCCTTCTAGAACAGTTTGTGTTTGAATGATAACACTGAAAGTATCCTATTTGCTAACTTCAGGAGCTTGTAGGGTGTTTCACTCATGTCCCACATGAGTTCACAGGAGATCTTTTAACAAAGAGTTGATTTTATATGACTATTCATAAAATAGTCCATGCAATTGTATTCCTTGAATTATATAAAAAAATTAAATGTCATGCCAAATAAATCTGGATTGTAAAATTTTAAAGTTAGGGATAGTATTGCATTTATCTTGGTGTTCCCCACATAACACAGTGCTTTTAGTAGACTATAAATAAATATGAGTTGAAAAAATAAGGGAGCTGAATGGATAGATAGATCTACTTTTCAAAATAGGCAGAAACCTAGATTTCTTTTCATCTTTTTTCTCTAAACTCTCCTCTTTGCCAATAGAGATTTTTAGTCTAATTGCTTTCAATTAGGTTATACATTGAAATTTGATCCCAATACTTTAACATTGGAAAGAAATATTTTTTAAAAATTCCAAATGAATTGGGCCAGATTTTCCTAAAAGAGAGAGATTTCTATCTAATTTTTCTAATTACTGACCTGAGGCCCCCTTTTCCTGAAAACTCATTCCTACCATTTGTTCCCATTGCTCATTTTAACTCAGTAGGTATTCTTTAAAGTGATACACAAGAAAGGTGGCTCTAGAACTAGGATGCTGTGTTTGAAGAAAAAGAGTTATTATATAAAGTATCAAAAAAGTAGTATGTTGGATATTAAAATAATTACATGAGAAGTTTTTTCACATTTATTTACAACTTTTGACCCAAGGACCTATCTATAAGCAGTGAATGTTTGTATTTCTTTTTATTATACCAATTTATGTGCAAAGAGTTACCTTCCACTTAATATAGAGTCTTATACTAGAAATTCCATGGAATTCAAGCCAATCCTTACTTGCATTCCTTCAAGTGGAGTATACAAACTGGACAAATTTCCTTGTTTAGGAAATGTGGTATCACATGTTGATCATGTGCTGACCCTCTCACCATAATCCCAAAGTGTTCCAAAGTCCTAATTTGCTTGGTTTGGCATTTCCACAGTCTTTCTTTATCTTAGCTCTTTTTTTAAAAAAAAAAAGTACTTAAATGAATTATTTTGCTGGTTGCTTCCATATTGCTTCATTCAAAATCCAAAATGGAGTTCAGAAAGAGAACAAATAAAATTATAGCTTAAGTGCAAACTACATTTCTGAGTATCTGCCAAGTAGGCATACCCAATCCAGTGTGTTTCTTCCAGTTCAATGGATTCCCCATTGGATCACCCCTGAAAGTGTCAGTAGTTTTCATGAACCACACAGAACTGTCTCTTAGTTTCCCTTCTACTCTTAACATTACCAACTGCCTATCAAGTACTGTCATTCATAGAGGGGAAGAAAATGTTGAAGAATGTAAAGGATTGGGGCGGGGATACATATTCAATAGTGTAAAACACAAAAGTAAGATTTGATGTTACATTTGACTAATATCTTGGCTTCCCCTTCTAATTCTAAAGACTGCATATTTAAAATAGTGGCCATTTCACCATATTAAAATATTTCTTTTTACAATTCTTTCAATTTATAGCAACACCTAAGAAGGTTTGATGGAAAAATGTTTGCAATTATAAATTAAAGCTGAAAAGAGGGGAGAAAGTAATATGAAGAGACAGATCAAAGCAAAACAAAATTAAGAAAAAACAAAAGAGCTCTCCAAACATAATTACTAGTTATAACTTTGATGAAGATTCAAAACTTATGAAAGCTGAGTTGGCCATTCTTGCTTGTCAAGATTGAAACTGTCTGAGAAAGAGATTGGATTTTCAATCTTAGTTACTATCATACATTATAAAAAAGGTTATCATTTTGTTCTTCTGGAAACATCATTAGGATTTCCAGGGATGCTGAAAATGTACACTTCGGTTCCTGCAGCTTGGGTCTTTCAAGCATGTGCATTGAAATACAGGAAGGAAGGAAGGAAGGAAGGAAGGAAGGAAGGCAAAGAAAACAATGTAAAAAAAAAGTTGGGAACTAGTTTGACAGCAGGCAGTATTGTCTCATATTTGCTGGTCCTTCTCTAGCTGTTCCAGTCTCCTGACCAATCCATGCAGAGAAATGAAGAAACAGTGTGGTTCCTCCTGTCTTTCTCTTTCAGTCCTTCCTTCTAATGTTCAAGTTAGATAAGCACATAACTATCATTGCATCTTGATATCTTCCACTGGGAAGTGTCAGAACTACTGGCCTTGAGAGTAGAGGGAAGACCACAAGAGAAAGAGAGGCAGCGGGGAAACTGGAGCGGGCGTCTCTCTCCACCTGAAAACCACTGCTGAGCTTACACCACAGTATTCCGGTGTCTGTAGGGTGGAGGAGGCAGCACAGTGCCTGGCTTCAGTGAGAACTCAGAGAGGTATTCAGGATTCTCTGCCACAATAGGCCGGATCCTTCCATTTTGTTTATAAAAATATTTTGTGCTGTACTCCTGCAGGTAGTCTGGGTGCTGAAGGGTGCTCCGAGGTGGCAGGCTGTGGTTCCAGTAGTCAGGGTTGTCGAATGCTTTCTTGGCCTTTTCTGGCACAGACAGTACGTTGTTCTTCAGGTATTCAGAGTTCCCCAAGGTGTTGGCAAAGGTGTTGAGGTACAGTGGCTCATTCACATACTCATCCTCTGCCTTGGGTGGACCATGGGAAGCACTGTGATATTCAGGATTATCCAAAGCTTGAAGGTCTCCATTTTTCCTCCGAGAGACAAAAGGGTTCTCCTCCACAGGGTTCAGGTATTCTGACGTAATACAAAAGTATCAGTTAACATCTACTTTCTGGAAAATATTAATCAGACCATGGTTATACAGAATGGTTAGCTTCTTTTTCCAGGACAATAAAGCCACATATTTCAGGAATTTTCACAAAAATTTTTTGTTGATTACTACTATCATATGAAAGAGGAGTAAGTGGGCAAAAAACGTTAGTGACAAAAGAAGGCACCAACAAGGCCAGGGTCAGAGTCCCTGTCCCCTAGATTGTTCTTCTTTCTTTCTGCTTGCATTTGTCTCTCCTACTTATGGGGCCAGTTGTTTAAATGCTTCTATTTTCTAAAAGTTGGTAATTTATGTTGGAAGATAAGACAAACTATCAAGGTTAAATAGATTTTAAATATGGAGAAATGAGAATTTTTAAAGAATATTGGAAGATCAAAATGTCTACAGATTAACTCCATGTCAAGATAAATGGATGAAGTGAAATAAAAGTAGTTTTTAGTCTACATAATTTGCTTAGAATGTCTGCATAGGTAACAAGGATTTGATTACAGATGTTCCCTCAGAAAGATTTACACACAGGAAAGAAAACATCTACGGAAAAGACTCAACTAATCAAATAATATAGACATCTAACATGCCTCTATATTAACTTGCTTGACAAAATATATGCTTAACAATAAATATAATTGTAACATTTATTTCCAATAGCTAATAATAATCATAAAATAGCAAATTATTACTTTGAATCATATGAAATTGCTATTTTGTAGGTTGAAGCTAGTCATATAGCAGCTATTTTGCATGATTCAGTCTAATAAATAGGTATTGGGCTAGAATAGATACTGGGCTAGAATTTTCAAAAATACTGCTAATTAATGCTGCTCTCCTCATGTTTAATTCTATTCCTATGTTTATAGTATAGAATATATATAGACATATATACACATATATAGTAGACCCTCTTTTTAAATATATGCACAAAAATGACACTTTAGCTATTCCTACTTTGGTGTTGGGGTAGGGAGAGGGCATAACTGTTTGTTGAGATGCTACCATCCTGCAACAAACTTTCTGTCCCCTATAATAAACCCGACATGTAGAGAGAAAAATCTCATCAACCCAGGGTTATTTTTTCCTGGATATAGGCCTACTGGATATAGTTAACTATTTAGTGTCATGTGCAAGTTAAAAGACAGTAATGAATATCCCACCATCATACACACAGATTACAGTTCAATAATTTACAAGGCACTATTATTTCATCCCTTTTTACAATCCTGTGAAAAAGGAAGTGCAAGGTGTATTCTTCCAGCATTATAGACAGAAAATTGAGATTAAATGATGTATGAAGGGTATAATTTGTTTTGAACTAGAATTCAAATTCCCTAACTCCTGTTGAATAATCTTGTTCTACTGCACTGTTTTCACTATTGCCCCTACAGGAGGAGGCTGAACTTTACACTTCATCATAAGTTTTAATTTGAATGGTTCTCAAAGCTACTGTCATTTTAAGAAAAATATATGAAAAATACCTATAAGGGAGTCAGAATTGGATTTTTCTTATCAGAGTCCTGAAGCTTCTTAATGGAAAGTATAGGAATGTCTATACTAAAATTCTCTACTGAGAACTGGGCTAGAGTTCTACATAAATGTGGGTCTCTTAGTTTAGTACTCAGAAATAAAACCTGGGGATGGTCTACAGTGAGTCTACACAGACTGACTTGCCTTTCTCTTAGAAGGTTCAAGTTACCTTTTCTCAAAGCAATCTGCTCATCTATTGTCCTGATGCAAATTTGTATAGCCATGTAGTTCTGTAGATAGGAATAATTTTATGGTTGAGTTGAGAATCTTCCCAGAGAGCATTTCACTTTTAGGCATCTGTCAAATCTTCTCAAAACCTACATTTGTGTCACTATTGGGCTACTGTCAACATCCAATTCTTCGTTACAGTAATACTTTCATACATATAGAGGTGGATATATTTTAATAGGTTATTGACAATATGTATTTAGGCATCCCTTAATTGCATACTATAAAAGTGAATATAACTGCGTATTAAGTGAGACAATGGGCCTTTATTCAGAGTCTTAAAATACAGTTTACTGTGACACTTAGAAGACTCTAAGAAACAGTCACCAGTTTTTAATAACAATCATCCATCTTCTTTTTCTGATGCTGTTAACATAAAAGGAAAGAGGCTTTCTCAAACTGAAATGTTATCTGATTTGGGTGTTTAACATTTCTACTACTAACTTTGTAAAGTTACTTCTGTTCTTTGTAAAGGCACAAGCTATGAATATTTTCAAGATGTGATGGTATACATATAAGTATATGCAGGGTCAGAACTTTAATTTTTGAAATGTATCATACAAGAAGTCATAATTTCTTATAATAAACTAGGTCATTAAATGACACCATTTTAATGCATCAATCAAGTCTTTTATTGGTGCCATTGAAAGCTTTGGACATTTTTACCAACAACATCAGTCTTTATGATCTCCACAAGAAGTCCAATGGAGTAAGGGTTCTGAAATCTTGGGATATGCTACCTCATTCAAATATTCCAATAAAGATATGTTTAGCTCAGTGCTTCTCAAGCTTGATTATGCATAAAAATCACCTGGGGATCTTGTTAAAATGCAGATTCCTATTCAAGTGGGGCCTGGGATTCTGGTTTCTAAAAAAGCCCCTAGATGATGTGGACGCTTTTGATTCAGAAAGCTTACTAGGAATAGCAGCAGCCTAAGCCTTTTGCGGATCACACATTTTACATAGGCAGATAGTTTGGCAATTTCCCTTCCATACTTTGCTTATTTTGATAGAGACAAATGTCACGTGGCAATCATTTCTGAACATTCTGCTTGTACCTTGTTTGGGTTTGTCTCGCATAGGGGTCATGTAACCTTCTTCATCCAGCTCTCCTCGTGGGCTCCGTTCTGGGGCGAACACTGTGGGGTCGGCGCTGTACCTCTGCGTGCTGCTGTCCTCTTGGACGTGGGGTGCCACGGACTTGCGTAAGGTGCCGTTACAGCAGGAGTCATCAAAAATCTCGGCGGTAGCCCCCTGAGCAACTGGGGCTTCTGGGATCGTGCTGGTGGTGGCCCTATAGGGCATGGGCACTCCTTGTTCTGCAGCAAAACCCCCATCTCGGTACACAAACTGGTTCTGTCAATAGTAGAAACACATTTGGACCAAAGGTATTGTTAGGAATAGCTGTCAAAAATATGGATGTTAATAACCAAAAGAATATGGAAGTTTGTCTTTCAGAGTAAAGTCAGAGTTTCTTAATTGAGCTTTTCCCCCAATAGTCAATGAGTTTGAATTAGACTAGAAACACCTAAAATTCCAATTTTTCTTATAAAATAAATCAATTGTGGGAAAACATTTTGGAAATATATATTTTAATTTTACTAACCACCTAACACATGATCTAATAAAAAGTATTTCATGTTCCTATCCCACAACTGCCTATTTTTAATGTAGAAATTCAAAGTGAATCTTCAAGACAAATGGCAATGTCATTAACTATAGGCAGTTGCCATTAAGGACAGAAGTACAGTGATGCAGTTTGAATGGTGATGTTTCCTTATTGCCTTCTAGTCTGTGGTTACTGTGACTCTGAGTCTCTAGTATCTAACTAGAGAATCACCACTGAGATTCTGACTTTTTAGCCCAAGACCTATAATCGTGGAAGTAAAGATAACCTCTTTACCCAGAAGCATGATGTATGAGCCCAGGTAAATTCTTCAGATAAAAATCAAAAGCTACTGTTGATGCATGATATCTCAACTCTGGATTATCTACTGAGATAAAACATCTACATAGGCAGGTACACAATCTACAGTAAATTCTTAACTCACTGTTGGCAAAGGCAAAATGAGGAAATTATGGAGAGGCAAGAGAGGAAACATGATAAGCAAAGACCAAAAATCCTAAAAGATGAAGGTTGATTGTGAAATACTTACTCCTGACATGGGGGTGTAGGCAGGAGGAGGGCTGTGTCCAATTTCACTCTAATAGGAAAGAAAAATGGAATGATGGATGTAATAAGAGGTAACATGAATGAAAAAAAAAAAAAAAAAAAAAAAAAAAAAAAAAAAGAAAAGCCACATGAGTTGTATGAACCAAAGGGGAAAACATGCACAACAGTGACGTTTGCTAAACAGTAAAATTTTATGCACTCTGACGACAAGCAAGTTTATTTATATTTTCTGAGGATGTTAAATATTTTAATTCAATCCCTGTAAAGAAGAATTATATAGAAAAAGTAAAATTTTAAATGGATTAAAAATAAAGTTGACAATAAATGTTCTTCTGATTAACCCTGGAAGAAAGGGAAAAGCAGTAAATTAACTTGAGTTGTAAATGAGGAACCCTTTCCTTTGTTACACGTTAAATAACTGGAATGGCCACATACCAGAGCATTAACTTTCCTCTCATAGGAAGAAACTTATCTAAAAGGAGATAGAGGTGGACTTCAACTTGCCTGGAATAATTTTTGCTATCAAGTTACATTTATTTTTCACCATTTCAGCAAAGGGTCCACTTCTTAGCCTCTTTTATAAAAAGGTACATAATATTTTCTCATCAGTCTTTTTTTTTTTAAGTGAACAAAAAGCAGAAAATCTTCGAAAATCATTTCTTTACTGGAAACATGCTTTGCATACATTAATTTTATGTATTTAGAATCAGTTGAAATTAGATTGCAATTAATAAAAAAAGACAGTCTTATGGCTTAAAACTCTAGCCTATGGGTTAAATAAAAGTCAATATAAAAATATGATAAAATATTAAGGACAACGTTCCTTATGGTAAGTACAGGGGATGTACGAACACAACCTCTGTTTCCTAGCTAAAAATTATATATATATATATATATATATATATATATATATATATATATAATAATTTTTATATATTAAACACATTTCTTTAGAAACCATGGTCTATGTATGCGCCAGGCACTTTTCTTAGCACTGGAAATAATGAATAATGCAAATAAAAACAGTTGATTTTATGAACTTTGCATTCTCTACTTTCTGGATTTAACTGAACAGAGATGACTAAAATAAACCTGAAAGACAACATCTTGAAACATCTGTGAAACAGGGCTAAATCTTATTCCAGATCAACATTTTTATAATTTAGAGATTCATAGACTAATCTAAGAACATGGTCCCATGGAGATTAACCGTTTAATACAAATTAATAACAACTAGATAATATAGTTTTCCTTAATTAACTTAGCCTGCTGGACGAATCAAGGGACAAGCTCTGAACCCCTACACTGAATTTACATTTAAACTCTGCCCATAACTGAGTCACTTACATGATGGCATAGAAAATATTTATCTCTTTTCTTCTCTAATAACATAACTAACAACACATTGAAGACTATGACATGGAAAGTTAGATATATTTAATATGCACTGCATAGGAGGTGCTTTTGTACAATAGACAGATTGTTGTATGGTATGTTAGAAGCTCCAAGCTCCAGTCCCAATTACAAGTGATATGGTCAATCGTGAAATATCTCGGACCCTCATTTTCATCCTTGGCCTCTCTTATTCTTAATGAAGATAAAGTACAATATTATATATAGGTGAACTTTTTAAGCTCTGCACTATTATACAAATGTAGAGAATATGTGAAATTTAAATGTTCACACCTGCTAAGTCAAATGTTTAAAGTCAAGCAATCAAATTGCCAAGGCTTCTCATCAAAGAAGCATTTTAAAATGCCTACTTGTCTTCCATAGCACCTTAAATATAGGTACATTTTGCTACCTTTTAGACTGTCATAAAATAAAATTCATTTGTTCATAAAATTTGAGAAATAAATTTTCCATATAGTCCAGTGATATGTAAAATAGAGGGCTGGTACAAAAATATGACACCTGCCTGCTGGAACTTTATCATATTACAACCTTGGCCTTACCCTATCATTAAACCTGGATTATTTGGCAAGCATTTAGCAAATATTTATTAAATTGCTACAGTGAAAGCACAGGAATTACGGTAGATGCTGGAGATACCATGATACACTAGGAGAGGCATGTCCAGTGGCCTTTTGTAATTTACATTGTACTATCAAACATTACCTGAGATTATTAAAAGAAAAGGTAAGAGAAAGGTGAGGCTGGAGTGAATTTATTTCAATTTCATGATTAGATATTAAAAGGCAAGGTATTCCAAAATATTCATAATCACCAGTGTTCCTTTGACCTCTTCTTTTGCAAGAGTTGCTATACTGGGTAATGTTCGATTAGAATTACGGCTGAGGAAACAGCACTGCCTGATGCACAATTAACATTTTATAAAACTTGAGAGATAAATGATCAAAAGAATAACTCACAAGTCATTCTTCATCAGGAAATACTTTATTATCTATATTCATTATCTGGGCTAGACCGCCTTCAATTGTAAAGGTGTTGTATTAAAAATAACTAGATCTCTTGCAGTCAGTCTGTTCCAAGACACAAAGTGCAGCCATGCTTTATTAGAATGGATCCGCTGTCCTTGCTTTGACAAGTCTTTCAGTCAGCAACCTGCCAACTCTGTATCTAGACACACTGCCAGAGACCATCACAGTAATAGGAGTGTCTTCATGCTTTTTCTAGTTTTCAGCATTAAAATGGAAAAAAAGCTAAACAAAATTCCCTTAGCATTCATTGTTTTTAGGGTTACTGGCTGCTTTTTATGTTTCTGTTTCCATTTTTTCCATTTGCCTTTTTTCCGTTTTCCATGATAAAAAGCACCTCATTCATATCTCCCTGGAAGGGCAATGCAGCTACAAGGGAACATCTGTGAGGCCAATTAGCTGGGCTGGAAATGTGATATAATTGTTGTTTAAATATATTTAAATTACATGTTAATCACTATGTCATAATTTATAGGCTTTGAAAATAACTTTTTGTACTTGAGAGCCAAGCCAGATTTTACTTGTTTTTGCTGTTTTTAGTTTGTAACAAGCTCTTCTCTTTCCCCACACAACCATCCCCCAGTTCCCCACGCTTGAAAAGCTGAACTTTTAATATTGGAAAGAATGACAGCTGCAAGTAAATTGGTTGAGTAAAAATTAAGATCCCCACAATCAGAATGAGCTGCAGAGACCTTAACGTTCTGAGCAGAACAAAGCAGTGCTCTCAGTTAAAAGGCTTTCATTTTTTTTTTTTTTTATTGTGCCACTTTCTGCTGTCTGTCAAAGCCCAGCTTTGACGATCTTCAGGAAGCAGCACTGGGTACATCTGTTCAATTAACTGGTGAGGGGATTTACTGTCAGCAGGACAAAGATAGAAAGAGGTGGGCTATGAACTGGCAGGTGATCTGGAGCTTGCTCCTGGTGGGGAAATATGTAAGGGTGATGAAGAGAGTCAAGTTTAATTTGTGGCCACAATCACTGGGACACTGTATGATTAACTCGGACCCAAATGCCAGGGGTTATAGAGAAGGCAAATGTCAACAAATACATCAAATACAGTATTAAGTGCACTTTTAGATACATCACGTCCTAAAATTTACTTTTCAATTGAATGATAAAGATTTGAAACTTTGTCTTACTACATGTATTGCATTTCTCATATTTATTGTATTAATTAAAACGTATTTATTTTATATTATTCCTGGGAAATTTTTAATTGTAAACTAGATGAACTGTGTCCTGTGATATTTTTCTAAATATTATACAAATGTATCTTCTTAGGAGACAAACAAAAATACATGCCTAATGCCTAACTTCTACCTAAATTAAACATGTGCTTAATGAGAGAGAGTTGTTTTTAATCTTCAGATAATTGTTACTTGTAATATTAACTATAGGATTAAAGTTTCTAGGGCCAAGAATCACTCTAAATCCTTTTAACTAAAATGGCACATGTCTCTATAAGATGGTGCTAATCCACCAGCACTGATATATTACCTAGACACTTCCACATAGTAATTATTAAGGGTTCTCAATTTTTTATCCTCCTTGGAATATATCCTTAACACTCTGATGGGCATTTTCACATTTCACAGGTCAGGTAGCAGATAGATAAATTTTTTTTTCATTTTCTTTCGTTATGTACAATTCCTGATGTATGGTTATACCTCTGTATCTTTTTTATAACTAAGTTCAATATACCAGCGTTTGAGACATCTGGATTTTGAATCTTCATTTTCCATAAGGCAACCAGAAGAAAACAAGCAAAATGTGTTCATATTCCCCAAACCAGTAAGAACTGGGGAAGCCTATTGCATCTAGGCAGCTGGCTCACACACACACATGCATATGTGTGAACACATATGTTACACAAAACGCCTTTTGTCTCTTTAGATATGTGTTTATTTATTAATGTACTTATTTATTTATTTAGTTTGATTACGTGAGATGCTACTTTAAAAAAAACTTTGTTTTTACACACACAAAAACGGTTAATAATGATAATGTAATCATAAATAAAAATATAATGATATAAAATTATAATAAATAAATAAATTAATAATAATGATCCTATGCCCCACCTGAAGGAGTATTAACTTGTGCTTTCATTCTTTGTTCACTTTTCACTAACCCTAGAACTTAATTATAAAGTCTACTCTTTCACAGATGAATATATTACTTCTCTTAGGAAAATTGAGAAATAGCAAGGGAAACCAACATGCATTGTATACCTACCATATACCACAGACTAGAATATTTTAGGTTTTATTTATTCATATGACCTTTCAAGGTAAATATGATTATTAAAAATTATGACTCCCATTTTGAAGATAAGAAAACTGAGCCTCAAGGAAGTTAAAAGTCTTTCCCACGCACACACACAGCCACTGGCGGCTCTCTGAATCCTACATCTTTTTATTATGCCACATGTAGATTTTGACTTTAGCATTTCTATTTTGTTTGCCCTCCCTCTGCCCCTGCATAATGCCTCAACTCTTCTCTCAAATAAGATTTCATGGTTTCCCTTTCTTATGAAAAACGAATCTGAAGGAGAAATTTGAGAAATTAACTCGCCTTAGTTATAAAATACTGA